AAATCTCTGAGAGATACGGTCTGAAGCTCTTGAAGCAGACCACTGAGTACAGAATGGTTTCAAAAGGAAACGTGATCCACTTTTGCGCAAAATGTCCCTACTATGGACGAGCGCGTGGAATAGAGCTGTGTCAAATATGCCAGACTGGAGGGACGGTGTTAGATTTCCCTGAAAGGGCAGCCAGTCCGGCATGACACGCACAAATCAAGAAGTGTACACACTTGACGCTTTAAGGCTCGAGTTGCAAAAGCGCACTTTGCTTCGCAATATTTGCATTTGCTTTCATTCTGCTATCACTTTAGCTTCGCTGGCTTTCATTGTGCTTTCACTTGCTCTCATTTCGCAAGAGCATGTAAAACATGTAAAGGACACATCCCATTGTGGACCTTCTTTTTATACTGGACTTTTGGCACTTGTAAGGGGTACCTTTTGCAAACCTGTTGAAGTGAAACTTATCAGGGTTTTTGATTAAGCACCTATGCATTTGGAAACTGGGCAATTGTTGTTTTCGTTTGCTTTCATTTGCTGTCATTTTGCAATGAATCTGCAGTCGTTGTTTTTGTTCTGAGGGTTACTTGCATTTTTGGAGCTGAATTCTATAAACCTGGATTTGGAATACTATATACAGTAATGGAACCAAAACTCAGAAGATTGGGCGAATAGTAAATCAAATTAGATCTGGATTTTCTGGACCTTTTGAAGTTTACAATTCCAGATGACCTCACTGATGCTAATCTAACGTTAGCACCTTTTCCTCTCCATTGAAGGATTGGTTGCGTTACAGCCCACATGCACAACCGTGACTACTGAAAAAAAACTGCTAGTAGTCTTGTTTTTTCTCATCGACAAGGCAAGCGCTTCCCCAAACAGGCGCCCGAGGGTCCTGTCATGCTGCTTTGGCCCCAGATGCCTGTCTCAGATGTTTGCTCGCAGACCCACACTGCATTCTTAGACTGTGGCGCTTCCGCGGGTGCAATGAATTTGATCAGGTGGTGGTACACCACAATGTCCACACCACTAATGAGCTGGCTACACCCGTACGATCGTCACTCAACTGACGAAACGTAGTTTGCACAGTGATTGTGGTTTCTCTTTTGCGGAGATGCCAATTGTGGAAGCAAACCTTTTTTGTGTGTACTCCACTGTGAGTGGATCGCCCATCTCCTCTTGCCTCGTACGTCTATGACAGCAGATGAAGGGAATGCTGGCACTGCTTGCAACACTTCAAGTGCCTCATTGCTTGAAATACGGGAAAGGCATTCATTAGCTTTGCGTGCGCGTTACCACACCTGCAAGATTGCAAAATGCTGGAAAACTTTCGCGTGTGCAAGGCAAACTGAGCGCCAAGTTTGATGTTTCATTGAGGCTTCGCTTGTAGTGTTTCACTGTGGTGCATTGTGTTTCACCTGACACGTTTTTTTCCTTCTTCGATACATTTCTTCTTTGTGACGCAAGGCGGGATCCTAACAGGCGCAATCAGGGAAAAGGTTTTCTAAGTCAAGTAGACTATGAACGTTGTCCACACTGAGCAATCTATAATCTATGCAACATAGCAGTTGAAACTGCATGCGTGACCCAGGTTTTCCACGAAACAATTGTCTTCTTTTCAAAAACATGCGACGCCAAACATAAGGAAGACACATTCCTTCTCTTGGACCTAGGACTCATGGGTCTCCCTTCTGTTCTCTCCTACTTGCGGGTCATCCTCTGTCAGACGGAGAATGGTGGCAATTTGCCTTTAGCCCCTTGCTGTGCAGTTTGTCTGATGTGGTGCGCAACAGGTCTATTTTGGTGTGCCTGTCCTTTTCTGGTAGCAACGGCAACCGCGTTCAGGTTGCTCCGGGTTTCACTTCGTGTTTGTCCTATTCTTGTTCCACAGCGGTATTTGGTCCAAGTACCTTTTGTCTAAATGACAACCACTTGCTTGGATTGTTTGGATGCTTGTTTTGTTTGATTTGCCATTGTTGGGTTTGTTCTCAAAAACAGTCCGTTTCACATGTTTCGTTTGATAAGATGTGGTTGCAGACTCAACAGGTGTTGTGACACGGCGCCGGTTACGTTGCATTCCTGCTGTGACTCATAGAGTCAAAAGGTATGTGGTCTGAGGCAGGGCATGACTGGAAGAAACCAATGACCAGTCTTTCGTACTGACATGAGACGGGTTTCGACTCCGGATTGTGCTTAGAGTGCTCAAAGTTCAAGAGTCGAAAAAGTGTCAGTTGGCTATTTCAGGAGAGATTCTTCTTTCAACTTGCGGCCATTCCACCTTTGTGCATTTTTCATTTGGTATCAATACATAAATACTGTTGGCAGACAGCCCATAAGGCAAGACAAGAAACGATTCCTCGTCAAAGATTGTTCTATGCAAGTTCTATCTTATTTTTTCTATCAATCCTTTTAGTCCCAGAATTGCGGTGTTGCCTGTATGGAGCCGCGGCATTTGCTCTTCTCAACGTGGCTGGGATCAGCAGAGTGGGGTGGTGAGAGATCGTTTTTTGGTTTGTGTTGTCTGAAGAATGTGATTCACCATGTCTCGTCGTTTGTCATGCCAACGCCCAGTTCATGCTCACATGTTCATCCACGAAAGGTGGCAAGATGAAAACGGTGTTTTGATGCATCAAGACCTTTTTTATCTCAGGAGCAAAGCTGCGCTGGCTGGTTTTGGGCGAAGCTTGGAAAGGAACGTGGCTCGTCAAGATACCGCCTTGCATCATTGGACGGTTGTTTGTTGGTGTCGGTGTAGTGTTTATGTAACGATGTAAGAACTTTACGACCAGATCTGGAATGTGTCCTGTTTCTAGTATGAAACAAGTATCAGCAGGTCTCCCGGTCTCCCATTGCAAAAGGATGTGCAAGTCTACTGAGCAAGAGCGATGCTGAGCTAATGCTGCTGAGGCAGAGATGCTCTATTATTCGGAGCACGAACCCTTAGACAAGCAGATGCTCACCCAACAGCTAGCAAAAGCCAATGATGACAATGAGGTGTTGTTCTCGGTGCTGTTGCTGGCGACGGCGAACTCCAGCTATTTGTGGTTCGATGAGGAGCATTGTCCCAACAATGTGAAGCTGTGCCAGATGTTGAGGGAGAAAGCAGGTCGCAGCAACATGCGCTTTGTGATTTGTCCCACAACAAAAGCAGCCCAAGAGGGCTGGAACCATCACCCACCTGCCTTGCAAAGCGTTTTCGGTGAATTTTTGTCAGATTCAGCTGAGCTGCATGTGTGGAACCATTTCAACGCGGATGAGGAACTTGACTCGGAATGCTTTTGCAGCTTGATTGCCAAAGAGGCGATCCAACCCCATGCGCTCACAGAGCAGCAGGCTGCTAGAAGCTGGTGGTGGCCATCCATTTTGCGTTTACCGGCTACAGTTGTAGTTATAGCTGCGCTTACAGAAATTCAGAGGCGCGGCCAGCAGATTGAACACCTCCAGGCTGAGGCTGCTTCCCAGAAAAACGAGAGTGTGGCCGAAATCCAGAATCTTCAGCAGCAGCTGCGGGCTGAGAAAAACAAGAGTGAAGTGGAAATCCTGAAGCTTGAGCAGCAGCTCCAGGCCAGGGAAAAGAAGAATGAGGTGGAAATCCAGAAGCTTAAGGCCGAGAAAGACAAGAGGGATGTGGAGATTCTGAAACTCAATCTGGAGATTCTGAAACTCAATCAGCATAAAGAGTTGCTGGCAGAGGCGGCTTCCCAAGAACAAGATAGCGATGCTCCAGTTCATAAGCTTAACCAGCAACCGGCTGATCATGAGAAAGGTGAGGAGCAGAATCGTGCAAGACTGTGATAAGATCAGGGGTGCTTCTTTACACAGCAAGATTCCGTCTCACAGGAACTCATGACTCATTGCATCAAGATTGCTGCCTTGGAATCATTGAACCTTCTCAGGTCACCCCTGTTGAAACACATCTTACCACGACTCTCCGATTACTATGTTTGCTGTTAACATAGTAGGTGTCAAGTGTTTGACAAGTCGTTCTTGCATGAATATCGTGATGATTGATTGAGCTGAGTGGGTGACTGCCATGACCAGACCTGGAGTCTTTCCAGAGCTCTCCAGAAAGCAGAAGGGCTGGGTAGCAAGTCGACGCTGTAGTACAGCCGTGCAAGAAAAGTTGCGAATCGAATCGAGACACTACGAACCATGTGGTTTACATTGGGTGCACGGGTGCACGTGTCGCATTTACTGTGGATACCTTCGGTTTTGCTTTTTATGTGCGACATCAGCAGGCTTACTTCATCCATGGGTGGTTCACTTGTCGCAGCCAGATTGGTGCCTCGGAGTTTTGAGAGTGTTTTTCAACCAGTCAAATCACTAAACAGTTGCAAGTTGCAGGCGAGTTTTAGGAGTGAGGTGCATGCATCGAGTTTTTCTCGAACATCCGCCTTGCTTGCAACCACAAGAGTTTCATTTGGACATCCCGTGCAGAATTGCCTGTTTTAGTCTCTCAACCTCCTTCAATTGTGTGTTTGAACTGGTGGCTCAAGCCTTGACGCTTGGCACGACGTTGTTGGGCCGAGCAACGAAAGATGGACTCCGCTTGAGGCCTAGATGGATCGGGTTCACGACAGAAGGGCCAATCCGACAGTGTTTGTGGAAAGCTGACCACATGTTTCATTTTTGCTTTGAGGAATTGTAAGAGAGCAATTCTTTTGCTATTCTTCCCGGGCTTTGTGCCAGTCTGATTGACTTTGAGGTATTTTTATCACATATATTTCTTTGCAGATTATCAGATTGTTAATCGTCGTAACTACCCTGGACGTTCGAACCTTCGCTGCGCTCTAGACCGCTCTTCGGTCGGTTTCAAGGGCCTTTTGATTCCGAGGTTTGAGCTGCCAGCATCAAAGCTTATGTCGGGAGCCAGAGATAATATGGGGAAGATGAGGACTGGTTTCACAGAGAAGACCAAATCCCTTTTCTTCCCTGTGCACTTCTCAAATTTCTTAGTCTGTCATCCTGTGCAATGGGAAAGCGTCCTGTACAAAATCTTTCGCGCCCCTCCTCAGGCTCATGAGCGCTGCTTCAGCTCTTGCGCCGGGGATATTCTTCAGCATTGTGCAGTAGCACATGGTGAGCCATGCTGCCATGTTTTTCATATTCATTGGCCTTTCTGATCACGCAACTTTCCACAGCCAGAAGCCTTGACTTTCTGTTTGCTTTTTTGGACTGGCCACTCATCAACACCTTGGAGCATACTTGGCTTTCATAGGTTGCTTACAATGTGAAGCCACTGATTCCACCTGAATTTGAAGCGCTGCGCCAGGTTCACGTTAGACAATGCTGAGCAGGTTACAGCTGCAGGATATGTCCTTTCAGGCCGTTCTGTTCTTCGTTCCCTTGAAGCTTTAATGTTTTCAACATCAGTAGTTTAGTTTTGGTGTTCACGCTTTTTGGGATACTACAAGATTCAGATATACATGACGCAGAGCACCTCATCAAGCGCGCTTGCTCGGTGCCCACAATGCTTTCTGAACCAGCATCGTCCAGTTTTTTAAAGGACAAGGTTTTTCTATATAAGACTTAGTGATAGAGAACCTCAGCTGGAAGCAAAGAGGAGGGCCACAGAAATTGACTGCGTCCCAAAGTTAAGTGGAACCGCGAAACTGAATGAGGCCTGATTGAATTGACATCCCAACTAGAGTCGGAATTCATGGAGGAACAGCTTTTTAAATTGATTCAAGTTTGTTGCGTAAGGGGCCCTGGTAGGGTACTTTGATTGAGCAGCATGGGCCCTGCAAGTCAATGCACCCCAATTGACCCTTCGACTCGTTCTTTGTGGTGTGTCCTGCGGACATGTGCTCGCATGTTGGCAGGCACAACTGTTCCAGATGCCTAAAGTGTCAGCAGGCGATCTGTTTGCTTTGCATGGCAACATATGGCCTTGAACTTGTTACCAAGGCTTGATTGCTCCACTGGTGGGTAAGTGTGAGAGGTGGATCTTGGCCAGTTTTCTGCTGCACAGTTAGCCTCTTCACTTAGAGATGTGCGAAATGTGCATCTGACAGTCTGAAAGATTGGGGAGTACAGTCATTGGGACAGATGGTGACAAGACGACTATGTACGGAGGAGTTTTTTTGATTTTCATCCCATAAGAAGTCAGGGCTCGAAGTGCTGTGAGTTGTGGAGAGTTCACACGGAATGCTGAGAGAATGCTCGCCTTTTGCTGTGGCCATTTCCCAGGTCAGCAAGGAGTGTTGCACGGTCTTGCGAGCGAGCCAGATATAAAGCCATTCTCAACGTCAACTTCATGCAAAGACATCCACTTATGGGACAGCCGAAAGACATCTACTGTACATGCTGCACTTTAGAACCGAATTCCTACTCCCATTATTTTCACGAAGTTCAACGCAGCTCTGCCACGATGCCACGGCAGTTGTTGTTCTCGACGTGCCTGGGATTGGAGGGCGTGTTTGAAGACACGCAAACCTCTTCAAACCTTGCACAAAGGGAGGGACTGTTCAGCTTTCTCCTCCAGTGTTGCTGGCACCTCTTGACTTTCAAGCTATATAACTGACTTTCAGTGCCTAGTCTAGTGCCTAGTGATTTAAACAGTCAAGCCTGCTGTGAATCAGTTGATTGAGGTTGCTAGAGTGGGATGGAGATTGTCAGAGTTGTCTTGTCTCACACTGGTTTCTCAGGAGCAAAGCTGCACTGGCTGGTTATGGCCGCGGCTTGCAAGGACATGTGGCTCGTCAGAATTCAGGAGGGTCTGGACAAGAGTTTGCCTACGGTTGAGCCAACTGCCACCGGTGAGTGTGGATTGAAAGAAGGGTGCCCCGGGTGTGGTGCAGCAATTTCTTTTTCTTTTACTGTAGCAGTTGGTTCTCTCTTTTTGAGCTGCCACTCATGTTAAGCACAGACAATTTGGTAGGGCCTTGAGGTTTCGGAGCTCATATGCAACCCTCATATGACCTAGGGATGGAGCAAAACACACCGATTCCTCAGATGGCTCGTACATGCTCTCGGCTGATGTTGTTCAGGTGGAGTTGGTTCACTATTCCGAGCAGGAAGCCTTAGACAAGCAGACGCTCAGCCGGAAGCTAGCGAAGACGGATCATGACGACGAGGTGCTGTTCTCGGTGCTGTTGCTGGCGACGGCGAACTCCAGCTATTTGTGGTTTGATGAGGAGCATTGCCCGAACAATGTGAAGCTGTGCCAGATGTTGAGGGAGAAAGCAGGTCTCAGCAATATGCGCTTTGTGATTTGTCCCACAACAAAAGCAGCCCAAGAGGGCTGGAACCATCACCCACCTGCCTTGCAAAGCGTTTTCGGTGACTTTTTGCCAGATTCGACAGTCCCTGAAACGTGGACGGACTTCAACCCTGAAGCTGATGTCGAGTCTGCACATATTTGCAGCTTGTGTGAAGAGGTGAACCAACCTCATGCGTGGCAGGCCGGAGAACGCCGAAGGCCATCAACTCGGCAGCCTGGTCACCGTGGCTGCTTCGTTCTTGGCGTGGCTCTCATTGTCATCGTGGGTACCGCAGTGCGCCACTTGTGTGCTCCTGGTTCCAGTCGGACCCTTCGAGGTGCATCAAAGCCTGTGCAGGAAGTGCAGAAAGTCAAAGAGGCAGAGCCAGCAGTATTCCCCCAAAGTCGCGACCGAACTGAAGAGGAGGAGACCCGTGCTTTGGACATGTCACTGTCACTGTCAGGAGGTCGCATCATGGTGGAAAAAATATTGATATTGGAAAGCCAATCATTCCCTCCCGAAAATCCCAAGGCCGATGATGCGGACAAGGATGTTGCCCGGCCAAGCAGCCTGCTTGGGCGATGCTGGACGACCATCCAAACGATGGTCAGGAGATGTCAGGAGGCTTTCGGGGACAGCAAGGAAGTCAAAGAAAAAGAGGCAGAGACAAAGAGGCAGAAAGTCAAAGAGGCAGAGCCAGCAGCATTTCCCCAAATTCGCGACCGAACCGAAGAGGAGGAGACCTGTGCTTTGGACATGTCACTATCAAGAGGTCGCATCATGATGGGAAGCTGGTGTATATTGGATAAGAAGCCTCTCAAAAATCCCAAGGCCAATGTGTGGACAAGGATGACAAGGATGATCCGACCCATAGTCAGGTGGCTTGGAAAGCAATGGCAAGGCATCCAAGAGCGGATGAAGTGTTGCTGGCAAGATCTGCAATGACATAGAAGCCTGTCATGAGTCAGTTCTTCTTGCACTTATATAAGGCTGCAAGATGTGCCTCTGGGTCGGAAGTTTCAATCAACTGGACCCACATGGCCAGAATCCTGGACTTTGCTGTGGCAGTTGTAGTACCTCTGCCGCCAAAAGCTTGTATGCGTGCGCCTGCGAGGAAAATGCGACTGGCAGCGGCTTGCACGGGTAGGTCGACTAGCTTAGTTGGGCCTTTGTAACTTCCAGCTCACATCGAAACCCGCCAATGCAGCAATGCATTTCAGATGCGCCCATCACACAAGGACCCTTGCAAGCTGCCAGGCCGTCCAGTGGATCTTTTTCGGAGAGGCCGCAAAATGGGAAGATTTTGAGAGACACCGAGAAGTGGGTTTGAAGTTGCGACAGAGTGTTTCTTGATTCATTTGATCCATGCCATTTGGTCAGCTGAGACATGTTTGCATTCGCTGTTACTACTGCAACCCACCGCAGACGCCTTGGCCCAGTGCAGTAAATCATCCAAGTTGTAGTTGCGTCAGAAGCATGGCCATACATCCGGAGTTTGTGCTGAAGCCACCAGCCAAGCCCACTGACCTTGAGGTGATTGTGCGGAAAGACAAAAGCCTGGTGATCACTTGGAGATCCACTGACAGCAGAGCTTCTCTCTTCGAGCTGCGGATCTGTTACTATCCATTTGAAGGGCCTATCATTAGGGACAGTCCCACCAAATCAAGTGTCCATGAAGTGTGTGGCGCTGCAAAACACGTTCTTCATCCTGGCGATCTGCCTAAAGCACAAGCTTGGGTAGTCAAGATCAGCTTGAAGGCCAAGTCTGAAGGGGGTGAAAGTGAGTCAGCGGAGTGTCAGGTCACTTGGGAGGGTGAGCTTTCAGACGAGGAGTCAAAGAATGACCTTAGAGAGAGGGCTTGGACGTTCGATCGTCAAGACCTTTGCGCTTTCATGGAAAGCAAGAAAAAACACCCGGAGGTTCTAGTCCTTGGCCCGCAGCACCACGGGAAGTCTTCGTTCGTGAATCATGTTCGCCGCTGCCTTCGTGGTGATTTGTCTCTGAACGACGAATTGGACACAGCACCTGCTGGTGCTGAAGAGAGGACTATCGAAGCAAAGAGAGTTTCAATTGAAGTTGGCTCCTCATCCAGAATGACTTTCATCGATACCCCTGCTTTTTCCACCATGAATGCTGACACGATTCGCACGCTTCAAACATTGCTGTCAAGCAGCGTACATGATGGGGCTCGCCGGCTGGATTTGGCAAGAGATGAGTTGAGCTGGGTTGGGGCCCCTCCCCATGCTATGATCTTGGTGATCTCACTCTGCCACTGGCGAGATCAAGCTGATGAGATGAGGACCTACTTGGAGAAGATGGCTCGGGTCTTGAAGAATGCTTCCGGAGGCACAGTGGAGTTTCCCTACGTCGTGGCTGCTACTCATTGCGACAAGTTCCTCATGGAGTGTCAGCAGGATGACCCGTGCAAAGAACTGGACAAGGCAGTCCGTGGAATCAAGAGGTCTGCTTTGACCAACCATGTCTATGCCATCAGAAACTGCGAAAGGGAGAGCGCCGGAAATGCTCGCAACAACAAGGCAACTTTCGACCTTCTCTCCCAGCTGCTCACCAAGGCCAGGAATCAAGACACTGCAAGGAGCCAGACATCCTTCGTCCAAAGGTGGTTCCGACGTGGTCGTCGCGCCATTGAGGAGAACCGGCATTTTTTGGGTGGCGTTGGGGTTGGCGGGACTCTCCTCGCTGTTGCTTGGCACTGCACCAATCCTGTTGGCTCAGCAGCCGTAGGCTTCCTTTTGCTTGGAGCTTGAAACTATTTGTTTCTTCTTGGGCTGAGAGCTGTTTTTTAATCCGCGGTTGTAGTACAACTGCTGTCAACTGCTCGGCTTTAAAGCTGGCTAGATCCGGAGCAGTTCCGATGCTTCCGATGTTCACGGCCAGATGCAGCCTTGTTCCAAAAGCAGTTTTGCTGCTAAGAGGCAGCTTTAGCGGTGGCAAGGAAACACAAGGAGAAACTCTTGCATGAGCGGAAAAGGTAAAAGGTTTTGAAGGTTGTACTGCAGGAGGAGCACGGGTTCGGGTGAGTGATTTCATCAGGGCAGACACAGTTCATCTGCAGAAGTCTCTTTTTCTCGCTCTGGAGGGCAGCCATGTTCGTTTGTTCGGCTAGGTTGAAGCTGCCCAGCCTTGTGCAGAAGAAGTTGCTCGCCGCTCTTCTGGCTTCAGGTACTTCAGTGTCAGTCACGTCAATTGGTGAGGGTGAGTGAAATTTCCCTCCGTGTGAAAAGGAATCATACAAACCCTGTTTTTCAACCTGCCCTCCAATGTTGGGCTTGTGTCTCGACCCATTTTGGAGAAACATACGATCATACGAAGGTCAACGCAGTCCGAACAGCAAACGTTTTTGTGTCCGGACAAAGGCATCCTGACATCTTAAAGTCTACAATTTAGTGAACTGTTTGCTTTTTGGGATGCTGACTAGAACTCCCAACCTTCGAAGCGCAGCCAGGCAGGTCCCAAAGAATGGCCGATGAGGCTAGTGAGTGGGAAGGGGTGGTGCAACGGCTGCGGATCCAGATGCCAAAGTATGGTGTTGCCTGTCATTTCAACAATTTCAGGAGATTCCTAGTTTTGTGTCGGAATCGAAGTTCTTTTTTTCTCCGTAGATTTGGTATTCATGTTATGCCATCCACTTTGGGCCAATGATATAGAATCGCACCTGTCACGAGGCCATGCGAGAGCCAATCTTGGCCCAGCATCTTGGATCAGCAGAGGCTTTTCGAGCAGGGAAGGGCATCAGGTTTTGGAGAGTCCAATCCAACGCTAATGTGGGTGGACGTGAAATCAACTCAGACTTAAGTCTGTGTGCACTTGCGGGCCTTATAAACTTGTTGAAGATGCTGAAAGTCCAGCTTATAACTTACTTATATATAACTGGATCCTGAACAACCTTAGCGAATTCTTTCTATAGAAAGAGTTTTGTGAGCTTTGTGCATGAGGCCTTGCCAAGTCGAAGTTGTCATTACTTGAAAACCATAGCTATGGCATTGTCATTTGTGCCGAGAGCAGTAACGCCACTGTTACATTCAGGTAAAGACTCAGGACACTCACTGCCGTGGAAGAGAAGAGCCATTTGAATTGGCTACCCATGTTCATGGTTGCACGCTGCTCGCCTGCCATAGGTTGTGATCAATCTTGTCATGTCAGCGACTGAGGTGGGGAGAATCCGCCTTGTTTCACGTGTGTGTTGCCTTTCAATCCTTCAAAAAAAGACCTGGTTGCCAAAGTCCACCCTCGGCCTGATCCCTTCCGCTCCAGGCAGCTCTTGATCTCCCTCAGCTGTGCAAGTAGAAATAAGGGCCTTTTGCGACGAGAGAGTCGTGTGTTGCCTCCTTGGAGTTGAGAGTTACTGGAAGGCCCCAGGGGATGAACACAAGTGAGTTGGTATGTTTTGACCAGGAATTTTTCCACAGGGCAGCAGCGTTACTCAAGTAGATCTAGCTGTATCATTCGGCAGATTTGTCAGACCCTTTCAAGAAGACACGTTTGTCTCCACTTCTTTCTGATTTTGCCTCCATCGTTCACCATCGGCTCCCCCTTCTTCTTCTTCTTCCTCTTTTGTCAACCTGTTGGCTCAAGCCTTGACGCTTGGTGCGACCTTTGTTGGACGGAAGAAAAACTCCGAGGAGGAAAGATGTCCATGGACTCTGCCTGGGGCCTGGGGGGCCTTTGATTCGTTCAATAGGGCCCTTTGGTTGCCGCAACAAGGGGTTCGACAGTCGATGGCGGGCTCCGAGGTTCGAACCGCCAGCATCAAAGCTTATGTCAGGAGCCCAAGAGCTGTTGGTTCGGGCTGGAGCTTGGGAGGTTTTGGAGAGTAGGTTCAAGTTCTTCATCCAGACGGTGATGCTTGCGGTACTACAGTACTGATACTTTTTTGGGGGGCTTGCTTGTCAAGTTGGGCAGAGCATGAACTCAGCACGAATGATCTATTTCCGGCTTCTGTCTTTGAGATTTGCCAAACTCATGCTGAAGAGAACTTGCGGGGGTGTGAGGTCTTCAGCTGGTGGGTGTGGTGGGTCATGTTCATCCAACTTGGAAGATAAAACAAGGCTGTCAACTCCTGCTGAGCGCTCTGGAAGAAGACTCGTTATAAGGAAACCCACCACGAAACTTGGAAACACACAAGGCATACATGGCTTTGGAAGTGAGTCAAAGATGCGACGCTAGAAGGTACAGTAGTCTCGGAAACGGGAGAAGCCCATGGCAACCACCTTTTGTCCTTACTTCAACACGACGAGATAAACCTTCTGCTGCACCAAAGGAAGATTCCATGTTGGTAGTAAATTCCATTGGAAAGTGGGTGGTCATAGAAGGGACAGGTGTCATAGTCGATGCCGGTCATGGTCATCTCCAGCCACGCCCAGGTTGATAGCTCCTTCTTGAATCCAGGTGCGCAACTTGAATACCGGAAGAGTGATATGTAATGCATAGGACAAAAAGCACGCATACGAGCTCAGGAGCAACTTGTCTTTGTATGCTTTGGGAGTTTGACTGAATACCACCTTGAATTACCCTGAGCTTTACGAACACTGAGTCACTAGGACATGTGGTGTGTTTTGTTCATTCTTCAGTTTTGCGCTTCAAAGCACCAGACTTCAATTGATTTCACTTTGCTTTTACCACTTTTCTGGCATGGGGATGCAGCATTTTGAGCAAGTTTGTCCAGCATTCTTTTGACACGGAAGGCTTTGCATCCAATGATTGAGCTCACTTCCACATAAGAATAGTGACCGCTCAACTGGTAAAGATGACATGTGCGCACTTCAATCTCTGGGACTCTAGGATGATCACCTTGCACAGGTTTTCGTTATTTTACCCGATGGTTTCGAAGCTTGCATATGACGAATCCACGCAAGCCACAATGCATTTCTTCACAAAGCTGGGTGGATGCCCCATACTTGATACCGTCTATCCAAGATTTGATGCGGCACAGCCATCCAGGGATCACAGCAGACGAGCTGAAGTTCGAGAAACAGCCGCTCAAGCTTACAATTGGGCCAAGTCGGTTTGAACGCTGTGACTCCAAGACCGCCCTCCCAAGTGGAATAAGAACAAAAACCAATGAAGAGCCGAGTGTGGGCGAATATTCAAGACCTACGAGACCTCAGATGGCTGTTGCTTTAATCTTCCTAGTACTCAGCCTTTCGACCCTATCAGCCTGACAGATTCATTGAGGCTTGTGACCATTCCCCACCATGGGAAAGGGAAGGTTGGAGCCACCTCGGACTTTCTGAGCAGGATATGTGGATGGCAAGCTACTACGCAACGAGTAGTGAGTGGGGAATCATCGTTCGTGTGGTGGGCGGTGGGCGCGCGTGTCTGGCTGAAAATGACCAATTCCTAACAGTTTGGGGGTTTGCCGACTTTGAATCACGTGTTAGCATCCCATGCTGCCACTGGAAATCGGCACCCGATGAGGCAGCTTACAGATGCCCGCAGGAAGCGTTGCACGTGGGGAAGCCCAACAGGATGTCAGAAAGACCGGATGTCCAGATTCGTGATCCGGCCAGACTTCCCATCTTCAGCGCTCCTGTGTTGACCAGCAAGTTGTTTCCTGGTTTGAGGAAGTGCATCCAGCTCCAAACACTTCGGGCAGTGCAGGTTCGATCGATCTATGAATCAAGCAAATGAACTAGATGCCGGCGTTGTGTGGGCTTGAGAACTTCGAGATCCGTCAGCCAGCGGCTTACTAACCTAGTTGTACAATAAGTCCCTCAACCGGGTGGATCTTTGTTGCGAGTATGGCAGTGTAAAGGGAAGATGGAGAAACATGGGACTGACGCTGACACTGAACCCCATCAATTGGCGTCTGAGTCTTTGAAGCCCATGGCGGTCTCAGGATGAGCTTCACCGACCGGATGGAGGCAGACGCTGAGTGCAAGCAAGCCTACCAGCAGGCGGCTTGGGAGGAGGGCTTCCAGGGTGTGGCTTTGGGGACGTCCAAGACATTTTCTACTTTGGAATCTGGAAGAAACGTCGCTAAGTCGCTTGATTCTTAGACATAACTAGTCGTCAACACAAGATGAAGTTGGAATTAATTCAATTCCTTAGTGACTTCACTTTGTGGGAAGCACCGCCATCAAGAGGGATTGCATATGCCTTGCTGAGACATCCATGACACATGGTGACTGATGACGGTGACAATGGTGCTGGATGATGCGATGTGAAACCGATCTCTCCCAGATTCTCCAAAACACTGTCGCAGCGTTTCCTGTCGGTCAACCCCAAAAAAGAAGAAAGATGTTTGCGCCCGCCACATTCCGGAGACACCGAGAGGTCATGGACATGCGAAAGAACGAGCTGCAGCGAAAGGCCTTGGATCAGCCGCTCGGATGAAGGTAAGAGTCAGGCTTTGGTGGACTGTGCAGTACAGGGCTGTTGTCCCACTTCAGATACATTTGCTGTGTGTAACCAAGGCTCTGAGCATTCTTCCAAAGCTCACGTTGTTCCTCCACAGGCATAGAGGAACTACCCCAAGTCCATTTGGCACACATGAATTGAGCGATTGAGCGTGAGCTTTCCTGCTTCCAGTAGCTAGTAGCTTACTTCTCCCTTATTTAATTAGGTAGGCAGTAATTAGGCGCGAACATTAGTTAAGCAGGCAAAACCAGAAGGTTTGAACTTAGAACCTACTTTCCGTCCTTCTCCCTTCAGAGCCTCGGAGCCCAGGATGGTGGCTGGGATGCGACCGGCACCCGAGTACACCGCGCCCAAAGTGGTTTGCCATGGCGCACGAGGGGTTCGGGCACTCAGCTTCAGCGGAGGTGGCTTTGCATGTGAGATAGGCTGTATAGGTTTCTCTGTACTGGCTTTTGGTGGGCAATACTGGAGGTAGAGTCAGCTCGGGTTCTTGCCAGAAGAGCAAATGTTGGCTCGGGTTCTTGGCTTGTTTCTGTTCACAACCCTTGAATGCTTGGCCACTCATTTGAGCTTCTGATAGATCAGCAACAGTTCACGATGGATGTGTGTGTGTGTGT